CCTCTGACGCGAAATAGTTGCTTAAAGCGTTGCGGCGCGGCAGGCAACCAGCGTGACACGCACACAGGCGCCTACAAACCTAACGGGATACTTCACGCGTTGCGCAATGCGTGAAGTATCCCGTTAGGTTTGCAGGCGCCAGTGCGCGTTCTGCGCTGCTAACACGCCGCTCCGCTCTGTGTTAGGCTCTAATATTTAAACTCGCGGAATCAGCGTTTTCCAACTCATGATTTTAAAATGTTTGCACTCTCTGCATTGATTATTCCCTTTTAAACTGATGAAAAAGAAATATATACTCCTGGAAAATATAATGTGTTTTTTGTGAATATAATAGTGGTTCCGTGTCAAATTTAATGATTTCCAAAACATTCAATAGTATTATTTTATGTTTTGGGCTTTTAATGTGCTGCAGCGTGGTGTAAGCGCAACTAAACGCTTAAAATCGGACGTATTTGACTCAAGGAGATCGATGTACAAATAAGTTAAACACAAAAAATTGCGTGCTTCTTAGTTTTTTCCTCTTTCATTAATTTTTGAATAGTTTCTTTCATTACAACTACGGCTCATTGAGATTCATATCGATGCCGTTGCTTGGAAAAGGTTTTACAAATATTTACCACGTTTTAAAAATGTAAATGTTTTTAAAATGAAGTAATCGATTTCATTTTAAAAAAATAGTACATTTAAGGCATATTTTACATCGAAAATTTCAAGGATAGAAATGAAACCAAGTATTTACCAAAGAATTTGAAAAGATGAATCAAAAGAAGAAATTAACATTTCATTTAAAATATGAGTTACGACAACAACACCATTCTCTCTTAATTTTCTCATTTTGATTTTGTCAATATAATTTTACATATACGGACTAAAATATGACGCTTGAATTTGATTTTAGTGGACTTTACATTTGTGGACTTAACTTAGTGGACGTTTAAGTAATGGACTTAACAATAGTGTGGGCTTTAGAACTGCTGTGGACGTAAAAATTGTGGACAAAAAGTCTGTGGACGTAAAAAAAGTGGACATAAAGTCCGTGTACCCAACGTTTCAGAAATGAGTCAAAAGGCTACACTCCCAAACTTACTGATTCTTAATTGGAGAGGTTGATGGAATTTACACTCCAACAAAAATATACGGTTACTAGTTGAATACAGTCGAGTCAATCCAGTCTTACAACTCCACAGAAAACTCAAGATGGCCATCGTCGTTTGACACAGTTACTCAATTAAAATCAAGGTACACGGAAAACGTTCCTCGTCCAATATATTTTCCCTTATGTCGTAAAAATTGTGTTTAGATGAGAGAAATGTATGTTTGTTACTTAATTTCTCTCAATTGAGAAACAACGTCAAATGACGGTGGTCGTTATGAGTTTAGCGTTGAGTTTTGAGACCGAGGTACCTCGCCTGTATCAATGTCTTTGCCGAGGCATAGGTACTGTTTGAAGCAAGGAACTAAAAATACGTAAGTGACTAAAGTAAATTGCGAGTTAAGAAATTTCGATGCGCTCATTGTGATTTTACAGTCATTATTTCGAAATAAATTAAAGGGGGGGGGGAATTTCCAACGTTAGCGTCAGTTTGCAACAGATCTATTGTGAATTGTTGCTTTAGCTGTTCCTTCCTTCCTGCGGAATATTTTGCACAGCTAATAGATTGAAAGAAGATAGTAGATTTTCTGATGGTGTTTGAAAACGAACATCAATGGTGGTTTTGATGATGAAAAGAGAACAAAACTGCCAGCCAAAGCAAACACGCCGTAACTCAATTCCAGATTTTCTATTTTTCTTCCGCACATACTGCTGTTATACAAGAAAACTCAGGTGGCAAAAGGCTTCATTTTTTTTCATTGAGCTCTCAATGGTATGCCAGAGTCGACTGAAAAAAGTGAAGGGTGAATATTCGTTCGCTTTCATGAAAAACATTTCGTCAGAGAAAAATCGAAACATGTTTGAATGGAATGACGGCCTTTTAACTTTGGACGGCAGAAAAGTCCTCTTTAAAGTACTCAGTGTCAGTGTGACACACGGAGAAAAAAACTTCGTGCATGGGACCCGATGTTGAGGTCATATGGATCTGTGAAGCTTTCTGATCACGCATCCGAAAACTTGAGGTCGAACTGCCGAAGTTCGGGTCAGACATCTAGGTACTTCGGTAGGTACCGCAGTACTTCAGATGTGTGACCCGAACCCTTCGGTATATATCGAAGTACTTCAGATATCTGACTCGAACTTCAGCAGCTGGACCTCAAGTTTTCATATACGTGATCCGAAAACTTCAGGGATCCATATGACCTCAACTTCGGGTCCCACTCACGAAGTTTTTCTCTCCGTGCACAATGTTAATGACAATGCATCAAATCATACAACTATTCCTTCTCAAAAGTCGTATAGATTGCATATCGACGGTGAAACTACCAAACCACGTATCTCGGTTTGCGACGTCGCAGACTTCCTGTCATACTTTATTTTTTAAATGAAAAACTACGTAACATCCAGTCTTGAAAATTTCTGTGATTTTTCCTCTTTGTGCGGAGAAAATTCCGTGAAAATTTCAAGGAATGATATTGATTTGGTCTACTGCAAAAAAATAAAATGTGAGCGTAGATTTTTAAACACCGCAAACGAGATACGTGGTTTGGTAGTTTCACCGTCGATATGCAAAAAAACGAAGGCGCGCTGCGTTTGTTGTGAGCGCGTTGCACTTTAAGTCTTTATCGAGCAACTTTCCGACTAGATCAAAGAGGAGCCAGATATGGCAGCTAAGAGCTTTTTTTGACCGCGGAGCGTGTCATGTGATTGACCCGTTTTGCCACGAAGCGGGTCTTTTTTTCACACAAATCGATAGGAAAACTGGAAAGATGCGTACCTACATTGCGGCGTTTCCAAAATTTTCACGTGAATGTTAGTCATTCACACAAATAATTATTTAAATCTGAGTTTCGTACAGCGTTTGGCGATGAGTTATGACCTAGAAAAAGTTACATTGAAAAATGTTCTTCAACGTCGCAAGATGAGACATATACTGTCTTTTCCCAATTTCACCATCGATTCGTATGTATTGGAAAATTGGGAGGAAATTCATGAAATCCACGCAGATGCCTTTGAGTAACCTGGGCTAGAATTCTACTTTATTATTCCATTTCAGGCGTAGTGTAACACAGAAGCAATATAACAATATGTCGACGGCATAAGTCCGCAATCACATATCTCGTTGGCGGTGTCTGAAAATCTTCGCCTCTGTGTTATGCTTTTAAAGGAGAAAAGATTGACATCATCTCTTGAAGTTTTTGCAGAATTTCCTCCGCACAGAGAAGAAAAATCACGACAGTTTTAAAGAATTGCCGTTGAGTAGTTTTCCGTTTAAAAAGTAAAGTATGACAGGAAGTCTGGGCCGTCAGAAACCGAGTTATGTGATTGCCGACTTACATCGTCGACGTATATCTCTAAGCACATTGCACTGCACTTAGGAACAGTAATTCGCTGAACACTAAAATCTGCACCTCAGCACCTGATTTTGCTTTACCCTTCCAATCCGCACTTGGGTACAGCCGGCTTTTTTTCCTGTGCTTTTGTACATTTTTCCTCTACTAGGTGACACTTTTTCCCCACACTCCACTACATCCGGCAGAAGTTAAAGCAAAGTTGATTTTTAAGCGCTCAGCCGATAGGCAGCGCTTTTTGATTTCGACTTGCCTCTGGAGTACTAGTATACTAGTGCTAATTCGTTTAAATGGCGCACCAGCTCATCGATGTGTAGGCTTTTTGGGGGGGGGGGTCCAGTTTTAAAATAAATAAAGCTGTGAAAACCATATTTTACGCTTGTAACTTAATGCGCAGGTAGTTTCGATCGTTTGTCTATAAGAAAATTTCTTAGTGGTAAAGTAATTCTTATCGAAATTGATCGTTGAACTCAAATGAAGCCTAAAAAAAACGCGCCTGATGAGCTCAACGGTGAGCTCATTTTCGGGAAACGAAAATACGCGTTTACGGTTTCCTTGGTAACCTTTGTTCGCTATCAGCTGATGTTTTATTTCCATTTCTCAGCAAAGTCGACGGAGTTTATACTTCCTTTCTTCACTAAATACATTGACTAACACCTGAGCGCATTTCTAATACGACAGTATTAGAACTTTCCCGCTTATTTTTTCTCTGTTTTCGCTCATACCGCGCATCATTTTTCGGCCGTAGATGTCCATCGATGATCTACACTTACGGCAGTTGAGTTTCGCAGAGCTCAAGGAGACAATATTTTTCGTGGACAAGACACGGCTCATCAGGGATTTCCTCCATGCCACGGGTCCGCAACATATGATACTCCAGACTAAACGCGGATTCGGCAAAACGACCAACTTGGACATGATCCGCCGCTTCCTGGAGATTGACGCCTCCCACAACGGCACGAAGGAAACGGACAAACTCTCGCACAAGAGCTACAAGACTTTCGCGACCAAGGTTCCCAACAAGAACCAATTCTTAGACGTGTTCAGAGACCGGCCGCTTTTCGCGAAAAACTTCGGTGAGCACAAAGTCATCTTTTCATTCAAAAAATTCACATTTCAAAAATTGCTAAAACGTATTTGTGGTGAAGTCCATGCTCATGATTTCGTGATGTAAGTTGGCTGTTTCTTCTTTACGGCGGTCTTATGGATATCAATATAAGCTAATAAATGAGAAAAAATACTAAAAAGTGGCCCGAATACTGTATGTAACAAGGTGGAGGAATCGTGCTGGATCCACACCACTTCGCGGGGAAAATGAAGCAGAGAAGATCCAAAAAGGGGGCCTCTTTCCCCTCAGTTTTGCACTGTTACTCGTTAGAGTTGAAAAAATATTTTTGACTCTAATTATAATTTTTGGATCTTCTCGGCTTCATTTTCCCCGCGAGATGGTGTGGACCCAGCACCATTTCTCCACCTTATTATGAGCTAATATCATGTAACAATAGTGTCCTGCTCAGGCGCCGTCAACAGCTGAAAGGAAAATCTATTTAAAACATTGAAAAACCACCATGTCACATTAAAAGAGTGGTTTCGGAACCATGTCATATTAAATGGACTGAATACATCTAATTGCGTTAAATGAGAAGAAAGATGTTGAGAAACCGAAAATTTTATATTAAAATTTTGAAGAAAAAACACAAGTTTTACAAAAGATTAGTCACACTGAGCCTGAAGGGCTGAAGATGCGTTACGTAGCGCTCACATGAGTCGAAGGTGGAATGGACCAAGAATAACGGGCAGTACACGCTTTTATAGACTTGATGACGTCACTGGTGGTGAGACTTCAAGTCTATACGCGATTGGCTGGCCATAATCAGTGGAGCTATCAGTTGCAAGTCTAGTCATTAACTTTATGGGTGATGGCTGCATGATAGGACTGAAAAGATGAAAAATGAACAGCCATCCCTAATGACCAGTTAGGTTGGGTTAGGGTGGGTGATGGCTGCATGATAGGACTGAAAAGATGAAAAATGAACAGCCATCCCTAATGACTAGTTAGAATTTATATGAAAAGGAAGTTTAAAATAAATGAAGATGCAGGGATTTCAGGATCTGTGACATAGGTACCCCTCGCCGAGTAGAAATTGCTTCTGCGATTTCACCATGGGAGTTAGGAAAAATGGGTGTCTAAACCGAATAGTTGAAAGAAAGACTACTAACTTAAAAATCCATATGAAAGAGCATTCGTAGATTTCCGGCATTACATTCAAACAGAAGATGGATCCTTCAAGCGCTACAGACGCAATGCTGTGTAAAAAAAGGGAAATCTTGCAACGAATAGCTGTAGAGATTATAGACTTAATCAACACAGATGGTATAAAAGATACAAAATTCGATGAATGATAAAAACGGTCTTTCTGTCATGATTAACGAAGTGAGATGCAAGGGAAGAGTTTAATTGATTTTGCTTTGTCTTTTTCAGGTAAGTAGCGGAGAATTCAAAGTACGTATTAGTAGCGATAAGATCGGAAACAAAAGGTAAGTATTGATTTGTAAAAAGAGTGAGCACAGATATGTAAAAAAAAAAACTAATGTAAAATGAATAACCGGAGTTGTCTTTACGATCAAAAAATTGAAAAAGAAGGTGGTTGATAAAAATTGCATGAGCATTGCGCAAGTACGAGCAAGACTGAGCAAGATCAAAAGGAATCAGAGATAGAGATATTGACGGAAGAAAAAATGTGAGGTCATGTTTAACGCCAAAACAACTAAATAACTTGATTAGGACTAAGTATTACGTTAAATATGTATAAAAATAGTTGAATTTTGTTTAAGCCCTATAGTAATGCAGGGACAGAGTTGAGCTGGTTCAGGATAATTTTAACTTTCACACTTGAAAAAAATGCCTAAACACGTTCTTGTCAGTTATCAAAGCGATTGCACATATGTATTAAGTGAAGTAAGAGGATTATACTGAATAACAACAACCAATTGTTTTCTGTCATGCGGAGTGTGCAAAAAAGTGTGCCTGGTGGGAGTGATAAGTTGAAAAAACACTTTTCGAGTTAAACTAATCGCGCCAAACACAGTGCGGTCGACGCGCGGTGCATATTAGCGCCTACAAGACTGTGGGAATACTTCACGCACTGCGCCAGACGCAGCGCTAGCGCTTGCACAACTGTAGGAATACTTCACGCATTGCGCGTTCACTATGGTGCGCGCTTTAATCGTTGAAAATTCGCAATTTCTCGGAACCGTGGAGTGCGCACCACTTCCGATCAATTTGCAAGCACAACGTAAGCCTACAATCCTACACTGGAAAAAAAAAAAAAAAAAAAAAAAAAAAAAAAAAAAAAAAAAAAAACACATTGGATCTAGAGTCCAGACTCTTGAAAACATTGACAAGAAAAAATACTCTTGATTCAATCGGATATTTGCTTGAATCAAAACGAAATCCGCTTAAATTATAAGAGGTTTGGTTTTTGATTTAAGCTAGATTCTGATTGAATCAAGAGTACTTTTTCTTGTCGACGTTTTTAAGAGTCTGGACTCTAGATCCAATGTATTGTTTTTTTTCCAGTGTAAGACCGAGGAATCGTTGAGATTTTGCAGGCCTGAATGGTATCTTAGTCCAGTGAGTTATTCATGCTGGAGTTCGTGTGTCTTCTTTAATCGACTATTGCTGACCTCTTTAATGGCTAGGAAATCGACCGGTCTCTCGTTATTGAGAGCAATCACTGCACTAAAGATTAAGAAACCTTTTGTTCTGGAAGTAATTTTCAGAAATGATAATTTCTATTTTTTTTTTGTGGTCTTAAAAATTTTCAAATAATTTTAGTGAACATTCCGCGTACAGTTCCAAAACTTTAATTAATAACTACTTTTATTAAATGCAGGTGAATATCCAGTTATCTGGCTGGACTTTGATACGAAAGGAGTCAAAACGCGCAGCGAGGCAGGCTTCTTACGCCATCTCCTCAACAACACTCTCCGATCGGCGTTCGAGGATCACGCTTACCTCATCAACTCATCGATGATTTCAGCGGATGACAAGATGAACGTGAGGAAGTTCCTCTACCCGAACTCTTCAACCCATGACGTCACGCCGCGACAGGGTGTCGCCCTCCTGAAAAGACTCCTGAGGCAGCAATTCCAAAAAGACGCAATCACACTGGCCGACAACGTGGACGCAAGACTCCGAGAGGTCATCTTCGACCCGGAGCAAGAACTCGACGAAAAAGTGGACGTGTTAGACATCCTGATCGACGAAAACGAACCGTCAGGCCGAATGCTGATGACATGCGTACTTCTGCCACCTGGTGGCTCAAAATTCAACCACTGGTTCGGGAAACAGTATGAGGGTGTCACAGAGGACATACTCGAAACGGTGGTATACAAAAAGCCCTCTTTCTTGAATCGAATGTCTCAAATGAAAGCGTGGTACGGTGGCTACGGTGACAAGTTCAATCTTTACTCCGTCATGAAGTATATGAATTGGGGTAGGAAAAAATTCCAACCTCTCTGGACCGAGCTGGGGTCACTGGACACCTTTAAAATGGCGTTTGCTCCAGATTGTTTCGGTCCGAAGATTTTGGAGTGTTTTGTTGGGTGTGAGATTACACCCGCCAATTTCAGCTCTCACTTGGAGGTCTTTCCTCAAGCTATGAGAAGTCTAAAGAGCCTGCAAAGACTTGCCTTCCCAGTGGAGGCATCGGTATGTACCGATGAGGTGTTGCTTCACTTTGTCGAGTTTTTGGTAGATCTTGGTTACCTGAACCGCACGGGTAGAGTTTATAGACCACGCTCTAGTCCACGCAAAGAGTACCAAATACTGAAGGTTCCAAACCTGGAGGTGGAAGACTACATCTCGAAGCTAATCTATAAGACGGTTGTGGCTGAAACCCCTCTCAATGGAGATGAAAATTTCCGACTGGAATTATTCGAAGCAATTTTCGGAGTCAGTGAGTCTCAGGAAACCATGCGTAGGTTTGCGACCGCTTTAGCTACACTACTCAGGACATCTGAACGTGCAAACCAGACATCACAAGTAACTTTAGGTCACGCGCTTCGGGTACATTTGTTACATCCGCCAACGCAATTCAACGTGCCTTACGTGAAATTAGGCCCAAATGATGCAGATTTGGATAGAGGAAGGCCAAATTTTGACCTGGTCTTCGCTGTCCGAGCTAAGGATGCTCCAGCTGTAGGGTTTTTCATGAAAGTCGAGTTGGATGAAAAATCTACGGCATCGGATCAAATTTTGAGTGACGTTGTAAATGATTTCCAGTTAGAGGAGTTACAGAATATACCTAAAAAAGGGACGGTGAATGTGTTGGTAAAAATGGGTTGTGATGATGAGATTTGCAGGCTTAATTATCTGTATAATAGTACTCAACTTGACCAGAGCAAACAGTTAGAGATTAAAAAGGAGCAAGTTGCGAGGGAAGCTCGTGAAAAATGGAACAAATTTTGAAGATGTTCTTCCCAATGAAAAAACACAAGGTTCCGTCACGAGGTTAGGTTTTGTTTGAACGATGAGTGTCCCTTTTGTGCTGAAGACACAGCGTGAGAACGTGTGTCACAGAGGGGGATCCTGCGTTTGGCAACACTGGATTCCCTACATTTAAACCTATGTTAAATAATCGATTCTTGTCGGAGCACCTGTCCACTCCAAGGATCGATACATTTCCATAGGTTTAAACGGAGAGTAACAATGTTGCCAATTTGCTGGATCCGCCAATGGTGCGTCAGAAACTCAGTAAAAATCTGTGAAAGAAAGTTTCTTCCATTGCCCTACACTAATGACCAACCTGTCAGCCAACTTAGCGCGCGTTCATTTTATAAGCTTAATATTGTAGAATTATAGGGGACTGAGATACGTTCAACCTGCTCAGGCTATCATAAATTAAATGGAGTGTTGATTGAACAATCATTAATGAATTCTGTTAGGCTGCGGAAAACTGGAAAAAATCGAGAGAGAAATACAAATTTACGTTTACCGTAAAAGAAGGACTTGAGCTAATTGCTAAGAACGATGTTCACCAAGATTGATATAAATTAGTGCAAGAGCTCAGACGAAATGATAAAAATGTCTAAAAGTACCTATCTATTTCTGCTCAGCAGCTGTCCACTTTGCATATTATAAAGAATGAGGGTGCTTGCAACTTTTCTCAAGGTGCATATTCGAATAAAAACAGAGGCGGGTCCAGGAATTTGGCAAAACCGTATTTCCTCCATTTAAACCTATGCGAAATAATCGATTCTTGTCAGAGCAACTGGCGGCCTGGCCCCTCCAAGGATCGATACATTTCCATAGTTTTAAATGGAGAAAGGACAATATTGCCAATTTGCTGGATCCGCCAATGAATAAAAATAAGAAAATAGAGACAAAATATTTAAGGGTATGCAACCCTAAAGTTGTAACGTTGTCGATGATGAGATCTACAACGCTGCTGCACTTTCACTACCAGTGGTCCAATTCCCTCGGGGCTCTCGAAGGAGAGTTTGAAGGGCACAATCGGTACCCTCATGGGCGTAGCTAGGGGGGTCCTTTTCTGGGGGAACCTGCCCCCCCCCAGAAAAACGGGATCCTCCATTCCTCACCCCCTGCTCTCTTCACCACGAGAAGTGGTCCCATGGCCCTCCCCAGAGAAATTTCCTAGCTACGCCCCTGGGTACCCTTCAAATTCAACCGCCCGCTGGAAGAAGGTGCAATTTTAGGTGTCTTATTCTTATTGTCATTGTGAAAATGTCTTGATTTTACTAGCCCCAATGTTCCTCGCTGCTTATTTATAGATGGAGGTGGCTGTAAGGCGTGAATGACCGATAATCGATATCTTCCCATTTAAAGTTGGGATAAAGAATCGCTTATATTGAGGTGTTAGGTGCAGCACCCTGTTTATCGATTCTTTTCCATAGGTTTAAACGGCAGATCAATCGATTAGTGGAGTATACTGACGGTGTAAGTCCGCAACCACGTATCTCGTTTGCCAATGTTTAAAAATACATAAGTGTATTTATTTATATTTTTATTTGGAGATCTCTCTTGAATTAAATTATCCTGTAATAATTATAATTTCGGTAACTTTGTTATAAATTGGATTGTTAATTCCGATACTATGCTGATGTTTTGTTTTTTCCCTCATTTTGATTTTCAATATATTCATACTTGATGTTTTCCCCACTTTTTTCTGTTTTTAATTGCTATTGATGATAATAGTATTGTATTGTTTTGAAATTTCCATATATGTATGACAACCTAAAATAAAATAAGTGCACAGGAGATTATTCTAATGCCTTCATGGTTATTATTAACTGAAATTTCCTACCAATAAAGAAGTACTATGAGATCAAAGGGGCCGTCTCTGAATTACGTAATGTTCTGTAGGGGGGGAGGGGTCGAGGAGAGCGTTTCGCCATTTTTGTTACGGCACAAAACAGTTACAAGGAGAAGGGAGAAAGGGGGTCAAAAAGTGCATAATTTTAATAATTTAGTACAACATAATTTAAGGACGGCCCCTGAGGTGAAACTAGCAGCTTCTACGTTGCAGAATCTGATTAAAACCCAAAGTTGCCTACCAAATCAAAACCATGGTTCTTCCTGAAATTTTGCTAGTTATCAGAATTCTAACCCACTTTTGCATGTCTTTCAGGGCAGTCCGGTCAAAAATAAAAAAAGCATCAACATCCAAACCTCAAAATTCAGTGAAGTGGTGAAATCCCCAGCATACATCGACAAGACGGACTTCTTGGAGGCTTTCTTGAGAATGCCTAAACACCTTCATATCACTGCACCTCGAGGCTTCTCCAAATCGACGAATCTGGACATGCTCCATTATTTCTTTGAGCACGAGCTCGACGAAAACTTCACGGCAAAAAACCCAGAAACATCGAAAAAATTAGAAATTTTCAAAAACACCAAATTTTTCAAGAACAACAGTACACTCTTCTGGTCGCATTTCGCGAAGTACCCCGTGATAAAACTAGATTTTAGCCCCTTAACAACGAAAAATTACACAGAGTTTCAAAGCACATTCTACACGCACTGCGTCCGCCCCCTTTTGGAGAAGTTCAGTTATCTAGCAAACAGCACCAAGATTGTCAACCCTGAGTATAAGAATGAAATAAAAATGATGTATTCCCCTGATTATCCTTGGGGCGAGGGGGCCATGATCACGTTTGGCGACTTACTCTCTACCTACTTGTCAAACCACCATGGGGTCAAACCAATTCTCCTCATTGACGAGATCGATGCTCCAATCAGATCCGTGCTTTTTGAGCAACATACTCCCATCGATGGTGAATGCATATTTCAGTTTTGTATCGTGTTCGTCGATGACATTATTAAACAAGAGGATATAACTCGCGCTCTTTTAACTGGTCGTGGCCGCGTTGCAGCCCCATACTTAAATTACGGTAGGGGCGCTCTGTACTACGAAGTTACCATCACGCACAGCTCTATTTTTGACACCAAAGAGCTGTACGGAGCTTACGGTCTCACAAAGAAAGATGTCGAGTCTTTCAAACATGATTTTCAGTTGTCAGACCTCGCGATGGAGAATATCGAATCACGGTACGAGGGTTACTGCGTTTATGACGATAAAATGATATTCGAGGCAAAGAGTGACAAAGCCCAAACCGCGAGACAGGAAAGACCTGTTGCTAAAATCTTTAACACGTACTCAATTTTACAGCGATTACACGCCGGGGTTGAGGATGATTGGTGGATCTATACTGCAGGTCTACAAGATTTGGAAATGTTCTTTTCACACAGGACTCGCCTGTCCGATAAGGTTAAAGAATGCATCCTGACAAATTGTTCCTTTATTGCGAAGGAACAATTAGAATACGTGGAGCTTTTGAATTTCAGGACTGCCATTAATTCCCGTAACTTCAGCTCTATCGATGAGAATGTGTTCCTTCAATTCTGTGTGGAATCAGGGTACTTTACGGTCCTCAAGAAGTTTCAAGGTAAATTCTGGATAGCGCCACCTAACGCTGAGATTCGCGAGCGTTTAGAGGCAGAAATATTCCTTCTACCCAAAAAAGGAGTAACCCGTTAGTGATGATCTCTGAGGGCCTTACCTTAAATTTTCATCAGCATTGTAAATGTTTCCTATTTCCTTTTTAATTTCTGTCCAATAAATAACGCCTCATACTTATTATAAGTTAAAAATGAAAGAAACATACGGCGTTTTTCAGGTCAGGGTGTGACGTATGATTCGTTTTTCTATTTGCCCTCCTCTCTGTATAGGAATTACAATGGACCACTAGACAAGGTACGAATTTCAGCATTCTGATACATGTTTCTTAAACAAAATTTCACGTAAAACACGGCGCACACAACGAAAATTACAGATATCAACTCCTTACGAAGATATTTAATGATTCTTGATGCGTAAATTCAAACCAGCCGCTCACGAAAACTCAGCGCTCTACGTAATTCACATCGCGCGCTAAACGTTACCATGACAGTCTCTGCTATATTAAAATCTGGCAACCTCAATTTTGACGCTTTGGCTCAGCTGTAGCAAATTGCTTATAGTTTGAACATTAAATGGTGGGAAATGAACATTGCTCGATTGAGAAGATTGCTGAAACCGTTGTAGTGCACGATTTGACTCACGTAGAGCTTTGAGTTTCTTGTGAGCGGGCAGTTCAAATTCCTCGTAACCAATGTGAAGTAAAAACGTTAATACCTTCGTTAGGAGTTCGTTTCAGTAATATTCGTTGCGTTAATCGTGTTCTACGTGAAATTCTGGTTAAGAAACATGTATCAGATTGCTTAAATTCGTACCTTGTCTAGTGGTCCATTGTACGGAATAAATGCAGAAATTCGTTGTGAATGAATGTCCTTTGAATGAATATCTCATTTTGTTCATTTTTACCGGAAATCATAATTTTATAATTCACACATTATTTATTCTCAAGGACACAAAACTATCATAAGAGACCATCTCGCGCTGGAACTTGAGTTTTCCTTATTAATTTCTGTCAGTTTTGGGCCAATGGACTTCCGGATGACGGAAATAATATATGAGATCAAATAATTTGTTTAAATCCTGTAACTTTTGAAGAAAAAAAATGATTAAAAAATAGTAAAGAGACAGCTAAGTTAATAATTATACGAACAGATTGCAGATTGCAGGCGTAAGATGCGTTCAGAAAGATTTGATAATGCGTATGATGATTTTTCCAACCTGCCTTTAAATTCAGTACATATAAATGAATTTTTTTTAAAAATTGAAATTATAGTTGAAATTATTACTATAGGAGGGAAAAGCTCGGATGAGCTTTTTTCATAAGAACGAAAAAATTTTCACAGAAGGAAAAAGCTCAGATGAGTTTTCCTGGTGAGAATTCTAATTTTACAGAAAAAATACTGAATGGCAACTCATCCTCAGCTCCTTGTCTAAAGTAAATAATTATTTCCCTTGATACTACTATTTCTAAATGAAGTAGCTTTATATTTTGAAGAATGAGTTTTACCAATGATCGAGCCTCAAGTCGCCAAGGAGGAGACGTTCAGTCTAATTCTCCTCAATGCGACCAACATCCAACGCTTAAGGAGATCTGTCCAATACAGGTGCAAACTAGAGGAAGTTGTGAGGAATGGACACGAATAATTGAAACAACGTCATGTTGGGATAATCATGTTTTATTAGTCATTTATTTCCCAAATAAAGAATTACGAAGCGACAAGAATTTTTATTTCATTTTTAGACATAGGCCAACAAAGGTACCTGCATGCAACATGAAGTTCAAAAGTGTTATTCTAAGATACATATTTTCGTATCATTTCGTACATATTTACGTATCATTTTGTCGTCTCCTAGACAGGGTAACGTAATTCCATTCCATTGTTGCAAAATCTACTCAATCCATTCAATTTCTTACGGGAAAATGACTGCAGTTTCTGTCCAACATTCACTGATTTCTTCGTGTGATCAAAAGGAAATGTACTTGATTGAGTCAGAATAGCCAACCAATTTCCGGTCAAAATACAATTGCGGAAAATTAAAATGTAGTTAAATTACTTTTTGTAAGTAATTATGATTTACTCCCTATAAAAATACCGTTGATCATGCTAGATCGCCATGTTGAAACTATAGAAAGATACGTATCTTTTAGAAATCATAGATTTCCCATCATAGTATATACTTTCATGAATATCAATGTTATGTATCTGTGTAACTCTTTTTTTACCATCCCTGCAAATCTATGGAAAACGATCAATAATTGTACCTCTAAAAATTCAGTATGAGCGGAATGAAACATTACAATCAAAATACATGTTCAACCACTTCCACTATCGATATCATCGATCGGTAGCCATCATAAGATCGTCAGAGGTTCAAGCATTTAGGCGTGGGTAATTGGACACGCTCAAGCGTTTACTTTGAGACCCTGATGGGTAACCTGTTGGCAGTCTTAGGACAGTAGCTCTACAAGACTTATGGCCGTTTTCAAGAAAAGGGTTCTTAATTCACCACGCTAAAATTTTTGAAAAGGGATTTTCATCGAATCGCTTCAAGAAACACAATTTTTAGTTTTTCGGAGAATAATTTCTCTCTTATCCTTAGTATTAAGTTGTAGGTGGTTTATTAGTTGATGTTTCCTCCAACGGAGAGCGTTATATTTCATCATAATCAGACAATATTTTACCCTGAACGCTCGGATCAGTGGTGACTCTTAAAAGTTGGCAGCACTGTTTTACCTACATTCAAATGTATGTAAAACAATCGATTTTAGGTGAGGCAGGTCGCCTCACCTAAAATCGATATTTTCAATGGTTTTAAGTGGAGGAAAAACAATGTTGCCAACTTGCAAAATCGCCACCAGTAAGATGCAATTAGTAATGAGAGCTTATATTTTTGTTTCGATCTGCGCATAGTGGATCGAGTCGATCAGAGAGGTTGGACATGAAATTTTTGACTAAAACTGCAAATTTTGATGTTTATTTCGTCACATTTTAAATTATAGGGGGTGTTAATTCAAGACGATTTCACGAGGGAACCATTAGAGTCACTTCAGAACCTCAAAGTCTTGTATAAACGGAGTTACAAGCGCTTAAAGTTTCCAGATTTTGTCCGACCTCTCCTATTGATTCGATTCACTGTGGTTCACTGCGTTCGGTTTCAATCGTGGTCATAGCCGGTTCATCCCTTGGACGCATTATACAAATGAGGGGATATCAATTACTTCGTGCTGGATTATGACGACAATATTCTTTTACAGGGAGTGATCATAAATTTAGACTGTTTCGTGAATAAAATGCAGCCCAGAAGTTCGGTCCGTGCGGCAAGGGGGACTCGGCCGTTGTTCGCTTGGCCTGCTCGCTCACATCCTCCAATGATAGCTCCCCGTTCATGAATCGGGCTCCGAAGTTGGTTTGGAACCCGGAATAACGTTGCTGCAAAACATTCAACATTCAGTCATTATTACAGTGGCTCGCACAAAATATTAGAGAATGATCAGTTGGGTCATGTGGACTGCATTTTGCAATTTGGACCTATAAATTGTGGCTCATCTGAAAAAACACTTATGTGCATAGGGAAACTAATTAGGGGCACGTCGAGGTCACCATTTTGTTGCGTACATTTAGCAACAATCAGAACTATTGAATAACGATTCACTTTTATAATAACAATATTCATAATAATGCTGTGGATATGACTTTATTCACACGGGTTTATAGCATTACAATGCGTATGTATATAGAACTCTGTTACCACGGAGACATATCAGGTTGAAGCTTAATTGGCTTTGACAGGCACATACGTTGTTTTTAAACCGGGCCGGAATTTATAGGTCCAAATTGCAAAATGCAGTCCATGTGTAAAGAATGTCGGAGAAGAGGTTGCCCAAACAAGTTTTGGATTGGGCATCACCTGGGAAGAGGCAATGGACGGTATAGTCCCGTAAAGGGATGGCGGCAGGGCGTTGACGAAGGGATGTTGCGGCGTCAGTTGCCTGCTGATAACATTTGGGAGGATAGGGAAATGTGGCGTTTGGGTGTTGCAGAACGCCAGAGTGCGTTGTAGGAGCGACTATATACATACCAGTTGAGTCAACCTTAAAAGCAGTGGCGTGGCGTGAATTGCGATGTATCGATTTTCATGACATTTAAACCTATGGAAAAGGATCGATAAACAGGGTGTTCGCAGCGAACACCTTAAGAATCGATTCTTCACCACAGGTTTAAATGGCATAACAATCGATAAATCGCAATTCACGTCACGCCACTGCTTAAAAGGACGAGGGGTTAGGTGACGTTAACTTCTAAAGGTCATGGGAGGGTTGGACGATCACGAGGCTTTGCTTCAAAGTGACTTTTTTTTTAATCTCAAGAGTCTCGATCTTTAAACTTAAGTTCCAATATTGCCGTAAAGTAGCAAGCTCCGCGTGATTTTACAACTTTAAGCCTTTTCCTCTCGAAATCCCAAAATCTCACTCGACATTTTTATGAACCGAACTTTGTATGGTAAAAGCTCGCTATGCCGAGCTACGGCTAAGACAAAATACCGCTTAAGTTGAATTTTTTTTCGGTCCCTAGACACGGCTACGTGTAAAGTGAAGAATCGGTTAAGAGAAATTGCCGGTCAAGTCGAATTTTTGGTCGGTTCCTACACAATTTGACTTAGCGAGCTTTCACTGTAAGTATTACAAGTTATCCATCACAAAAATGAATTTTAACAGAAGGTTCATAAATTTGTAAACCAAGACACACAAATTTGTACCCTAACTGGTGTAACTCATTAGACCTAGTGCCCAGGGATTTTAGTTTTCAACACTGCCAGTGCCACTCTGTAAAATACTGGAGAAGGGACTAATTCACGCTCGCGTCAGAAAATGTAAGTGAATGCACCAACCTGCAAGCCGTTCGTAAAAATTCCGTCAACAGTTAGTTTGGCTGCAACCCTGAGGGCTTTGGCATATACATCCAAAGCAGTGATGTAACCGACAAATACGTCCTTCAGGTCCGACTCTGGATTTGATTTTAGACCAATGTTCAACCCACCCGTTTGGAATCCTCCCTGAACATGCAAAAAAGAAATACTATTACGTCCAATTTACATTACCATATTTAAGGGTCTCGGAGGGGAAGGCGCATAAGTGCAGTTTTTGAAAACATTGAGATATTAATAATTTCAAGTAAAACCAGGCTTAATGCATACTCTGTGAAAAATTCGCTCCCAAATTCAAATTTTCAAGCATCGAAAAGTCAGTTTAAACTTTCCTTCCGCTATGAGAATCCGTGCAATTTCGAAACTTCAAAAATGTATTTCTCGAAATAGCAAAAATTGCGCGTATGCGCCTTGCCCTCCAATCCTCTCATTTGTCTTCAAAAATGTATGCTAACCGTAACATTTTTTACTCACTTGTTTCACGGGCTCATTTAATTAAACACTCTAACATATCTCATGTTCTTAATTTTTGCTATGAAAACAGTTGTGCGGATTTTTGAGCTTTCAGTGAATTTTTGCACAATGGGAAGTAAATCCCTTAACATTTTCATAGGAATTGTATAAACGTCCTCTCGTAAAACATTAAATTGCCCAGTTAAATTTGGCAATAGCTGATGTGGCTTGGTTCCTTTCTGTTAAACGCGGTCCAAATGTGGTTAGTAATTTTAACTTCCGCCGCTGCCCGACCGCACTGTGTGGCGCAATGCGTGAAGTATTCATGCAGTCTTGTAGGCGCTATGCGTTTCAGGCCGACTGCTGCTGACCGCAGTGTGTTTGACGCAATGCGTGAAGTATTCATGCAGTCTTGTATGCGCTATGCGTTTCATACCGATCGCCGCACCGCTCCGTTCCAGGTCAAATTGCGTGTTCGGTTTCTCTCTTAAGTCGACTTATTAAAGTTGTTGTCTCTTGTATCACCGGAAGACGACAAAATTAGAAATTACTGTACTTTCACTCTCAGAAAATGAGAGATTTTGTCGCCTTTTCTCGTTTGTAATTTATTTTCTGAATCCGATTTTTCTCTCTCTTTTTTTGATACCTACATTCAAAAAGATTGCAAAATTTGCCGCCCCTTACATTTTGCCGCCATGGGCCGCGGCCCATGTGGCCACCCCGGCCTTAAATCCGGCCCTGTCGCGAACACGGTCATTTTTAGCTACTTACTTGCTCAATAAGGGTCTTCATTAGTAACGTTGCTTCGCGCAGTTCTGGTGGGAGTCTGCCTTTGGTTACCTCTAAAGATCCGAAGAGATTGTATCTGAAAGCGAGAAATTTTAGTTGAGATTCGAAGCTAAAGGGAGGTAGACTCGATCATTGTCTCTGACTTAAAATTAATTGCTGTTAAAGACTCAAATCCTGCAGTCTCAGACAAAAGTGGAAAAAAAACTCATAAAAGTAGTCTTTTTAAATCGCTTGAAGAATGTTGTCAGGTGGCCATCACTGTTCACGAGGGCACGCTAGTTGCAACATTCATAAATATCTTGTTATGTTTCATTTTATTTTCTTTAAACATACTTGAATCAGCGAAGAAAGTTTATCGAAACTAGAGTACCTATATAGCGAGAATATGGACAGATCGCTTCGTGGAGGGCTTAGGGCCCAAAAGTGCAGCCATTCTTCTAGCCAACTTCTAACACACAAAACACTGCGGCTAGTCTGCAGAGTCTGCAGGTTTCAATTCTAACCAAGATGGCCAAGAATGTACATAAATGAGCGTTTTTCTGCAAAAGGGAGTAAATTTATGCAAAAACTAAGTCAAATACGTGCTTTATAAACGACAGTTCCTAATAATTGTATAGATAAATCGCTCTGGATAATTGAAATTCATAGATTGGCTGCATTTCTGGGCCTTAGCTTCGTTCGCAGAGGCATCGGTGAAGGCCTGATGGATTCTCGGAGTTTTACATCTGTCTATACTCTCGCCATACAGGTACTCTTATCGAAACATGTCGAGAAACATCGTTGATTAATTTACTTTTAAGCGGAAAAACACGAAGAGAGATTTGCAACGTTGCAGTAGGAGATGTGCTCCTTTTTAATTTTGCCATTATGTCAAACCACAAACTAAAAACATCAATCTAATTATTATAAAAAAGTGGTGGCGATTAAAGCATCAATGTAATTTTTAAGGGGTGGCCCCTGAAGGTAAAGGTTCAGTCACACGATCAAATTGAGCTATCAAACTAAAGCTCTGATTGGTGGAAAAAGACCTGAGGTGAGGATGCGACCAACGAGAGGCCCAATTTGATGGCTTAATTTGATCGTGTAACTGGACGTTAAGAGGGTCGATGAAAATCTTGAGGAACTAGTAAGTAATTCTTCAAATCTTTCCCCCTGCATATTTTTCTCACGGAAAACTTTAATCTCGAGGACAGTCATCTTGCAAACTTACGCGAGAGAGACTTTAAAATCGTAACCGGACCGGACACTGAGCTTGTACAAACGGTCGAGATTATAATTTTTCAAGAAGGCGAGTGCGCTCGAGGCAAAGGCAGCATCCTGGTGCGGGATTTCTGATTGGCTGGAATAATTTGGAAGCAGGAGAAGTTGACCTCTGTATCCCACATGCTCGCGAAACTCTGAGGAAACAAAAAAATTAACATTATCAGAGAAAAGGTGGCGAAAGTAAGATTTCTTTATGGCTAATTATTTGCTAAAGCTTCTTTGATTGATTTTGTTTTGTTTTCGATCGGAGCTTTTAGGACATCTCCATGGATTGACTCGTAATCTGAAGACTCGCTCATATTTCAAAAGGGTTATAATGTAAAACAAAACGGAGTACTTCTATAAAGTTGCCGCCAGCTCTGTAGAACTTTCACCAATCAATTCAAAGTAGGTCAAATTTTTTTACCGATTTTGTGGGGCAAAGTGTTGCAATGTCTAATTTGGTAGAAACATTGCGTGGAAATAAAGCGTAAAGTCTGACAAAATGTACATTTCTTCTTATACAGTTTCCTTCATTGCCTAAAAAATACTGCACAAAAAACAGTCATCCTGATTTACGTTCTTTTCACTGACAAATATGTGTGTTAAAACGGTTTCCTTTGAATTTAGGGTGACTGTAGTTACGCTCGATTTGAGTCATAAAGAGAAAGAGAAAATAAAAATAAAAACATGAAAAAATTGAGTCATTCCGTTCGAAAGCAAACTGCACGTGCCTCTATCTTCCATCGGATAATGGGTAAGAATAGCAATCTCCAAGAATGGAAGATGTCGACAGAGGATTTATGCGTGAAATTATGAAGGTGAAGAACACCAATCAATCTCTTGAATGTAACTATTTGACCATTTTAACGTGTAAAATCTGTAACAACCTAGTCTAAATCACTCACTTGAGACCAGAACTACTTAAATCACGGTCTGCCTTCATTTGAGATAGTAGGCAGAGGCGCATCTTATGCGTCAAAATAGTCGCATCCTCAGAGATTGAAGGGGCTTGAAGACCAGAACGCGAACAAAAACGGAGCTACAGAGGGACTACTTGTTATAGCTTATGGTGTGAGCTCTAGCTTGAACAAAATTATTTGAGTTCTTATTGTTTCGGCTTTCTTAACGAGGACCTGCGGGAAAGATCCGCGGCATGAAACAATTTTAGCAGCAAAATTTGTACGATCACTTAGAAATTATTGATCAGAACCATCTATCTATTCGTTATTTGTTGTTTCTTCGGACGTGGTTTTGCTTTACAATTTGATGGTTCATTACCAGGCATTATTTCCAGGGAGAATATTTCAAGTGCAACCGATAGCCTTGAAACCGGCTTGAAGCGAACTTCTCAGCTTTAAAGGAAATTATATGGAAAAGGCTTTGAGACAGAATGTTAAATAACTTCCGATTCGCAGCATAACTGTTGTCCTAAATCCGATTTTTCAATTGCCTCGTGAGAATGGTTAACAGACACACTTTGATTTAGCATTTTGCCACTAACTGCACGTGGCAGAAAATCTAAGAGGGTGTTCTAGATCATACGAAACAAGTACATCGATTGATACCAAAGCATTTTCGAGGAAAGTTGACCTAGAATATTCAAATATGCGAAGAAAAATTGAATATTGTTTAATGTTACAGGCAGAATTACATGAACAAATATCCAGAAAATAGGAAACATGATAAAGGATTCAGGAAAAAACAACATCAGAGTTATTCCAATCCAGTTTTGCGTTTCTATAATTTATGCATTAAGGATAAATGAAAAATAACATGAATGGAAGCTATACGTTTCCTGGAAGGGGACCACACAACTCAAGAGTTGACTAGTGGTTTGATAACAAGTATTTTTCTTATTCGTCGAACCATTAAGTTTCTCTTCGGCAAAAATGTCAATTTTCCCTGTGTATCGCGATTTTATTTTGAATGTCCATTACACTTTTCGTGTTTTGTGGTTATGTGATTAATTTGTTATTTTCCAAATTAACTGAAAAACTCAGCCAATTATCCATTCATCGGATGAAAAGGAAAACGCCATGACAAGTTAGTACAAACTACAACAATTACGAGTGAATTGTAAACTCTATTTGGAACAAATCGTCAATTTCGCTTTTTGAAAGTAAAGTTAGCACTTTTAGGAGTTTTTGACGTGAAAATAAGATCTTCATATCCTAAAAATGTCCTCTAAAACAATATTCCGTCAAAAGTGAGAGATATAAAAGGAGCGTTCAAAAATGATAAATAGAAATTGGTTCGATGCTTTATGAGTCGACATTTACTTTCAAAGAGGACTGAAATATATTTGCGGCTATGGATTACTTATAAAAAAGCTGACGACATTTAAACTGAAATGTCAATATGATGATCGTTAGGAAGGGAAGAGTCGAAATTTCAGTAGAATAGAGTCTATGAGAAAGCCGCTGCCATTCACATGACCAAGCAGTAAGACCCCAGGGCCTGCCATGAGCGATAGTTAACCAATTGCACGATTGCACATTACACGATTAGGTTCCAAATTTCTCGATCAATTTCTGAAACGACCATCCGATTCATCTGATGATTTCCATATGAAAAGATGCGTGCTTATAAATTAGTCTTTCGGCGTTAACCTAAACGTTTAGAAATTCTCGAGTCACGTAGAAAAATTCTGATTTCTGACTAAATAAAATTAAAAACTCCCGATAGAATATGCTCCAGGCTTCAGTTTGCAATGTTTCCTGGATGGAATCCGTCTCAATCACAATATGCGTCCTTTTACTAATTCAAAGAGCCTCACCTTCAGAAATTAAGGATGTCCGTCACGACACTCTCAAATTCATTGTCACTACATGCAACCACACGGTTCACGTGAACCATCGGCGGCTATTTTACATCGCCAACACCGTGCCGGAATTTCCGATGCCCCGTCTCGTTCAGGCCTTGCACAACCAGGACATTCAGACCACCATGATTGCAAGTCCTCGCCAGTTGAAGAACTTCGTCCGCACTCCCTGTCCGAATAATATCATCATACTTGTTAACTCGCTGAATGATATACTGAACTTGATCCTAGACACAGCCTCGGACGCAGAAGGAAAAGAGGACGGAGGCGAGAAAACTTTAATGCAAACTCACTCGGCTAACGCCTCCTCTGTTCTTGCTAACTACTGTATCCGCACAGACGTCTTGCCTCATGTTGACATTAATGAGATATGCGATATTCAATTGAATATTTCCTCAGCCGAGCTTGAGGACAATGGTAAACTGACGGATGCGGTACACGACCTCACGAAGGGTCTATACGTGCATGATATTCGGAATTCGAGAAACCACCTCATCTTCGTGATTTGCAGCGCGTACGGAAGAGGAGGAAACACTGGCTTTGCCTTAAATCCCATCGCCTCACCGGAGGAGAGCGAATCGGAGTTCAATGCGGATGAAGTCACCTCAAGTAAATTGATATTCGTATTCAGATTCAAATGGCGGATGTTTAGCGGATACAAACCGGTTGTATGCAAAGAGGATACTTGTTTCAAATACGATCCTTTCATCGAAAAGATTATCAGGTTCAGTGAAAAAAACAAGGATAATTTCTTTCAATTTTCAATGAAGAATATGCAGCAAAAGGAGGTCATGGCTTCTTTGTCATGGAGGGAAGATTTTTCATCAGGCATTGAGCCCATTCTGATGAATGTGATGAATACATTAATGGGTGACATCATGGCTGATATCTCACAGCACCTGAACTTCTCGTGTGATTATATTTATGTTGACGACAGCTTTAAATTCAACATGACCCTTACGGATCTCGCCGTAGAACAGAGCCACAGAAATGGCGCGAAGTTACACTTGCTTAATCTTGCCACAGTTTTCAGAGCGGCAGACCTAGTAAAATTCGATCAAACAACGAGTTTTGAGACTTACGCGGTGTCTGTCATAACACCATGAAGTTCTTTCATCCCCCAAAGCGCAGTTGCCTTCAAATGTTACTCTTTGGCGGTATGGATTTTCATTTTCATCACCATCATCCTATTCCTAATGATGCAAGCATTTCTTCAACATGTTTTCTACAGAACGCTTCAATACATCCGTGGAGGAGAAGACGTCAACCAAGACGAGGTGTCAGTTTTTTTGACCATCTACGCGTATTTCATCTGTGGCCAGCCACCAAGGCTGATTCTTGGTCATCTCTACACGAGCCAAATCGTGTTCGTCATCGTCATCTTTGCATCGATGATTCTCTCAGGACTCTTCCAGAACGGGATGGTGACTTTGTTGAGCGCTCGGATACGCTTCCCAGACATAGATACTCTCGAGGAACTGGCGCAGTCGGATCTTCGCATCCAAGTTCAAGGAATAGAATCTACCTCATTATTCTTCGAAGAACAACCGCTACCTCAAGGTATGAGTGATATACTGACGGACACCATCAGCGCTCAAGTGTGGGATTTGGACTTATATTCTGCCGAATCTGGTGACCCTCTGCTCTACGCCTATATGTTTAATAATAGCCTTCCACTCAACATTCCAGCAACTGGAATGAATATTCATGATGGCCTGGTACAGTTGGATGAAGCACTTCGACGAAGCCTACAGTCCGATGCGTTCTTGGTTCATGCTCCGCTAGCCTTACTCCCGAGAACTTTGCTTTTTGAGCATTGGTTAATACATGACTTCACGGTAGTATACCATAAAGTCGAAGAGAACGTGATGACATACCCGTACGGGTACAAGCTTTCAAAATACTCGTTTCTTTTCGATGCGCTTAACGAAAGAATCACTAGTATCGTAGAGTTCGGACTCGTGGGTAAATACCTCCCCATGGAATATTTTCGGAAACTAAATGGTCTTTCAGTAGGACCAGGGGAAGAGGGCGCAGCGCCTCGAGTATTTGACATGAACGATTTGCAAATTGCATTCATATTCCTCGCTGTGGGGTTGACTCTGAGTTATTTTGTCTTTGTGGCAGAACTTTGTATTCATCCGTGAATGTTTCTTCGTGATCGTGGACTGATTGACATGATGTAACCCTCGAAAAAATATTATGAAGGACTACTACGCAGCTAAGCCCTCATGTTCAATGTAATGTAGTGTGCGTATTTTAGTGTTGGTGTTTTTTAATGTTTTCTTATTTCCAATAAGCCAAAGAGAGTGTTGGGAGTTTACTATGATA